AAAAAAAATAACGATCTATGTTTTTAAAAGTATATTTACTAACCTTTCTCTGAAAACTTATTGAGTTAGATAATCTTTCGGGTTATATTGAATGCAATTAATTTCTTATATTTTTTTCTTTTACTTTTTTTAAGCAAGCAAATTTAGATTAAATAACCTCTTAGAAGACTTATTGTATGTGTTCTTCATTGATATAATATTTTAGATTAAAATAGAATTCTGATCACCAATAGACAAATTTGTCAGTAAATAAATTCTTCGATAAATTATAGGCACCAAATCAAACTCAATTAAATATGCTTATAAATTAATTAGATATATGTAAGAAAAAAAAAGTAGAAGGAGAGGAAGTAGAGACGATACAGTGAGAATGGCATAACATCCACAATGATGGAGGTAGTGGTAACAGCAAAGAAGAAAAAGGAAAAAGTGAAAGAGAGAAAGATAAGACAAAGGAGGAGAAGAAACCAACACTGGCAATGACGGAGAAAGAACCAAATACAAAATCTTTAATAAAAATTATATTGAATAAAAAAATCTTTAATAATTATTGAATATGTACGGATATAGATATTTATCAATGTGTTTTTTAATAGATAAAAATTACCATTGAAATTTAGTCATATGTTACTATTACTATGGCAAAATATTACTATGGCAAAAAAATCTCCACCCCTGAATATTTGCGGATATTTACTGCGGCTGGATCTTTTAATATCTGCTTATAAACGGGTCGAGAGTACGGGTATTATACTATCCATACATGCGGATATTCGTTAACCACAAAAAATAAAAATAAAAATTTAATTTATATTTTATTAAATTTAATTTAATTAAAATTAATATTAATTTATATTTTTTAAGTTAAATATAATTAAAATTAAATTTTAATTTATATTTAATTTAATATATATTATATTTTATATATCTTTTGTAATTTTATTTAAGTTTTATTATAATATTTTATAAAGATATATTTTTTAAATATTTGTAGTTATCTGCTGATTTTAAAATATGTGCGATATTTTTTAAATGTATATCTGTGTGGTAACAGATAGGATAACGGATAAATTTTTTTCTGTCAGATTAGATTGTGGGTAGACACCCTTAATGTTCGACAAATGTCACCAAATACATTAATTAATTGATGAATTGTGTTGATTAGTGTTATGACTTTTAATCTTAACCGTGAAGTTGTCTTTTACTATATGTTACTTTCTTCTAAGAATAAATAAGAGCCTGGAGGCTGCATGCTTGCCCCCATCAATGAAAAAAGCAATATATATACTTCCCTACCTAATATATTTCAACAAAATTTCAAATTCATTAAATAAGTTAGTAACTGTAATCCCCTCACAATTTCCATCACACAACACAAACGACGGACAAAGACAAAAATCAAACGTTGTTGAGCCGTGTACATTTACAGATGGTGGGGAAAAAAGAATAATTGGAGATGAAGAAGTAGGGAAAGAAGGCAAACGAAGAGTGTTCCAGCAAAGCAGGTGAGACCAAGACTGCCACAAACCAAACCAACAAACTCAATTACGTTGAACTCTCTGTTTCCTCTGATTTTGTCGTTATAAAGTGGGACATAATTCCAACCATGTTGGGATCTGCAACACCTTTCCAATCTCTCCCTCACCCTCACCATCTCTATCCTCTTCTTCAGAACATTCAAATCACCATCTACGCTCGTCCATCTCTCTGTTCATTCATCATTCCAAATCATTACAACGAGAAGAATGCAAAACATGAAAGAGAGTATCGTGAGATTATTTATTTATTTATTTATTACCTTCGTCTTGATAGTTCTGCACTTTGATCAGACGTGTATTGCTCCTCTTTGAATATGGCCTTCTTGGTTGAACGAAAAAGAAAGAAGAAAGAGAAGCAGCCATGTTAGTTTTTTGTTCACTGACCAGTGTTGAAACAAAATGTAGCAAAAGGGTGTTTGTATAAAAGTATAGGAGTGGCTTAAATCGCGGAATAATTTAAGGGTTTGTTAGGGTTGGAGGTGCCCTTTGTGTTCTCTTATACGACACTAGAAAAGGGTGTTTTAGGAGTCAAGAATATGAAGATTCATATTGTAATTGGTAACGCGTACGTGAAGAAGAAAGGCTGTGGGAAAAGTCATGGTTCCAATTAATAAATGCTTATCACCCTCACTTTGTTGTTATCTATTCATGGATTTCTTCAAGTGACCGGCTTAATTAACTAATCATTTTTGTTTCTTCTCTAAACACCACATTATCTCATCACCCTACTTCATGCATGCTTAATACCTATTTTCTACTTTAATAGTTTTACATTATTTAGAAGTCAGATTAAGTATTTAAAACAATTTTAATTTTTTCATTAAATTATAACCTTATATCCTATGTTTCTTAGCTTTTATAATATATCATGCAATTTACTTTAACGCATATACAAACTATTTAAATTTATATGTTTCGAGTACTTACTTATTATTATCATTTTGTTAACCATATATTGTTCCTCGATGAAATTAAAACAGTACTTGACACATTCAACATTAATTAATTATGCCAATAGTCTTGAGAAATTGCATGAGTTTACAATGCATTTTTCGCAAACTGTATTTCTTGCAAAGAATACTTTAAATACGAATTTTCTATGTTTTTTTTTGTCGATTTGTCTGTCATATTTGAATTGGCATTGGTTTTTACCAAGTCCAATTTGTATACCACGTTGTCTATAAGAAAAAAAAAAATGTATCCCATCTGATCTCTCAACATTTTTTCCTTTTAGAAAACACAAGTTTGTTTTCTTTTATATATATGAAAAAAAAGTCAGCGTTGTCGTTTTTGTCTTTATCTATCGGCAACAAGAGTCATTGACATTATATTTTCCATCCTTTCCATTCTTTTTTTTATTCTTGAGAAAAGATATATTTGTTTTTTATATTCTTTTTTGGATTGCAACCAAGGATTATACATTGAATTTATACATAGTTATGTTCAAATTAATCAATATGTAAATTATAATATTGCATTTATTCAACTATGGTATGATACTCTCTTATAATTAACCATCACAAGTAAACTGTGGCAACTATATCAGTTTCAATACCTCATCATCAGTACGATAATAATTTATTAAATAAGTATTTAATTGCTGTACACTGTTAAAGTAAACGTTAATTAATTAAAACAGGTAGTCTTCAAAATAATTCTTATAAAAAAAATATAACATTAATGATTTAAATTTAGACAGTATCATGAAAGAAATTTATTTTGTCAGTTAATTTATTGCTTATTCTTGATTTTCTTTTGTGATAATCTTTTGTGCTTCTGTTTCTAACTGTCAGCACATGATAATCAAGTAGGATGAGCCTTATTCAATGACTGGGTCAGGCCCAATTAATTCAATATGAATTGTAATTTTTACTTCCTGCACCCTGCCAATTTTCTTTGTGTACTCCATCAAAGATTTCCAAAAAGCCGGGTGAGTGTTTCTCTTTCAAAAAATTTCCGAAAGTAATTTAATGCGTTTTGGAAAATAAAATCCGAAACGATACGAAATTTTCTTTGATGGTTATAAAAAGTAACAGCTATTAATTGTTAGATCTATAAAGAAACTAAAAATTTTCAATAAAAATTATAAAAAATATTTTATGCATTATTTATCAAAAGTTCGATCTATAACGATAACCAAACATATCAATTTATATTATAATATAAATATTTTAAAAATTGGACATATAGTTATGACAACACCTAATGTTTCCAGTAGTATTTTTCTAAGGGAAATTCTCCATTCACCTCTTTTGCATCCATGAATTTAAAAATTATCTATTTTCTATTTTTAAATTATGAAATCTGAAAATAAAAAATTATTTTCAAATTATATAGTTTAAAAAAATATATAATATAAAAGTCATTTTTAACCCAAAAGTAAAAAAAAATTAATAATACAAATCATTGAAGAGACTTAAAAAACAAAATAACTTCCAAATTATATAATCTATTTTTTTTTAATTTATGATGTGAAAGTTTCTTATAACTTACAAATTGTATAATATTTTTTTTTTAATTTTAACGTCGAGATTAACCAGTTAAAAAAGATAAAACAGTAATTTTCATATTCATGGTTGTAGAACAAATATTATGGAGTTTCTGGAAGAATCTGCGATATTCGAAAATTATAGGCCGAACAAGTAGATGAACAAGTACAAAACCCATTATAATATTTTTTAATATAGATCCCAATCAAATTTGAATTTAAACTCTGCAAATTATCTAAACCCATATCAAATTTTTGCTTTGCTTTATTATTATAATAATATCAGTAAATAATTATTATAATAATAATAAAATAAATTTTTAGTATATAAAAAATTCATCAATTTTGACTTTGATCTTTATAACTTCTCATTTTTCACCTTTATGCATTTTGAAATTGTATTTGTTTCTCTTTCATTTCTGTAAAAAATCATGCTCTAATTTTGGTTTACAATATCTTTTTTAAGAAAGATATGCAAAATATATTCAATAAATTTTAAGAATTTCTTAGATGCTAAAATGGTATGTAATAAATATGATTACTTATCAATTAATATAATCACTTAACTTGTGTTGAACACATGTTAACTACAGTTATGTAATATTTGTATAAAAGTAGAAATTTTTAATTTTAGATAATTAACTTGTGTTTTCTTTGCAAATTATTGTGTATTATATATGTAAATAATTTAATAAATGAAATTATACGAAAGAGAAAAGGATGACGCGTATTCGGTTAGGTTAAGTTTAATTTCCAATATATATTATCCGGTTTTCCTTTAATATATATTTCTTTTAACCGACATAGTAAACAGATATTGATCTGTTTGGATGGGTGCGATGAGTTATGATGAATGGCTAGAAGTGGAGGTGCGCGAAAATCGTTGAAGAAGTTAACATGATGAAGGGCCGGGATTCAATCCTAGTGAAGATTATTGATGTGGTAACTTGGGTACCACAAAATATAAACCGGATCATAGCCCAACAGCCAAACAGCACTGTATTTTTTATTTTTATGTTATAAATATTAGAAAGAACAGAACACAGAAGGCACAGCGCCGCCTCAAGCTCTATCCCTAATCCCTATCTTATTCTCTCTGCTCTCGCAACACGCTCTTGCCTCCGATCTAAGGTGCATCTTTTCTCGATCTTTATTTTCTGATTGTTTTTTGTGATTCACTTGCATCTGCCTATGTTTTTTGTTTCATCATCGTGATTGAAATATTAATGAAGACAGTAATGTTAGTGATAATCGACACTCATCGATCATGGCACCACGCTTATTCTTTGTGGGGGTTTCCTTCTGGACCACCACATATGTGATGACTCTTTTGCTTCTCAAATGTTATTGTTGCGGCAGTTCGGTCTGTGTTATCTAGGTTTTCGATTATTCTGTTATGTTTTTTATGATATTACGATAACGCTCCCTGTTCTGTTTAAATTATTTTTCGTTTTAGGGTTAGGATGCTCGCCTTTAGATAGATGTATGAAAACTTTGGGAACAATAATTTATGTTCTTGGTTTTTCATTGGCCTTATGTATGATTTGGTTGTTCATGATGGGTCTTGGCTAGGTATTTGTCATTGGTTTCAATATATTGTTATTTATGTTTAGGACTTGCCTTGAGTTTCGATGTTGTAATTTTGACAGTTTTTTTTTTCTGGATTTGAATTGTAGGTGTTGTTGAAGCTTCATTTTGTTGGCTTGGTATACGTGCAAGTTCTGCGGTGGCAGATTCCAAGGTGAAGGCGTCACGTTAAAGTTTCTTTCATGTTTGAACAGGCTACTATCCATTTGGGAGCAACTGAGCTGCTTGGAGAGTATTTTTCTTCTTCTAGAAAAAATTATAGACCCTCATCACCGCAGAGAGTTATCTGTATGCATCGCGAGACATACCAGAAATTCACTCAGTTTTGTGGTAGCGGTTGGCCACCTTCCATTATCCCCGAAGGAGATTCTTCCAGGCTACAAGCTACTTTAGAGACCGAAATTGCTGCTGCGTGTAACTTGAATTCTTGGGTTTGCTGCCACTGAATATCTCTGAGACTTTGTAAGTCAACATGGCTTTACAGAACATTGGTGCTGCAAACAGCGATGATGCCTTCTATAGGTACAAGATGCCTAAGATGATTACCAAAATTGAGGGCAGAGGTAATGGCATCAAAACTAATGTCGTCAATATGGTTGATATTGCAAAGGCATTGGCAAGGCCAGCTTCTTACACGACTAAGTATTTTGGTTGTGAGCTTGGGGCCCAGTCTAAGTTTGATGAGAAGACTGGGACTTCCCACGTCAATGGAGCTCATGATACTGCAAAGCTTGCTGGCCTTCTTGAGAATTTCATCAAGAAGTATGTCCAGTGTTATGGTTGTGGAAATCCTGAAACTGATATCATAATTACCAAGAACCAGATGATCCAGCTGAAATGTGCTGCTTGTGGTTTTGTGTCCGATGTTGATATGAGAGACAAGCTGACTACCTTCATCGTTAAGAATCCTCCAGAAGTAAAGAAAGGTTCCAAAGACAAGAAGGCCATGCGGAGAGCCGAGAAGGAGAGACTCAAGGAAGGTGAAGCAGCAGATGAGGAACAAAAGAAAGTGAAGAAAGAGGTTAAGAAGAAAGGTTCTTCGTCTACAAAGGATGGCACTGCAAAATCCACCATTTCAAAGAAGAAAGGAAGTGGCTCTGATGAAGATCGCACATCGCCTACTCACAGACAAATTGAAGAGAAAGAGGAAGCTCATGACGAAGATGATGATGATGGCGTGCAATGGCTGACAGACACGTCACTTGATGCTGCTCGTCAACGTATCCAAGAACAGTTAAGTGCTGTGACAGCCGATATGGTTATGCTTTCTACAGATGAACCAGAGAAGAAGAAAAAAGCAGCAAGTAATGAAAATGGTGGTTCTCAGAATGGTAACTCAATGAACTACGGGGCTGTGGTTGCTGAAGTGAAAGCAAATTTGAAGAAAGGTTTTGGAGAAACTGAATTGCTTTCTCGTCTTGCAGCACTTCCCGCACCTGCTCAAGAAAAGATGACTGCTCTGGTTGAAGCTCTATTTGAGGGAACAGAGAAAGGTTTTGGTAAAGTTACTCTTCTGAAGAAGAACTATTTCGCTGCTGCTGTTACAGAGGAGGGATCCCAGATTTTATTGCTTCATGCCATTGAGGAATTCTGTTGCAAGTCTAATTCCAATGCTTTGAAGGAGGTTGCCCTGGTTCTGAAGACACTGTACGATGCTGATGTGTTGGAGGAAGAGCACGTGGTTATGTGGTATCAAAAGGGACTGAAAGGCGATAACAAGAACTCCAAGATTTGGAAGAATGCCCAACCTTTCATTGAATGGCTTCAGAATGCAGAATCAGAATCGGATGAAGAATAATATGTGATCATTATCATGGAGGAAGAAACACTCTTGGATTTTCCTTTACTTATGTTTGCTTGTTTGTTTCATGTCCTTTATTTCCAATAAAGGGTCTTGTTGGCCCCATGTTCTGAACTATGATCTTTTAAATTTATTGCGAAGGTTGCACTGCTCTATTAGTATGTACGCGTCAGTGTGTGGTTCTTGAGTATTTTGGCTTTTTATGTTAATGTTTTATGCTTATAATAAAATGTGTCTTGATAATAAGATGGTGTTCTGTTGTTTCTAATCCTGCTTGTTCAAATGTGGTTGATACCTGATATGAACATCCTCTAGCTTTGTAGGGAATTATTATAAAATGTCCTTTTTCTTTACCCCTTTTAGTTTTTGATGGATTATTTGGGAAACGTTTTGATTTGGGGAGGCTACAACTCTTGCTCTTATGATAATCGATTGAGTATATTTGAGTCAAACTGTATGTCATCTTAAAATATTTTGTTGTTTACCCATTTTAGATTTGTTGGATCGATGGGGTAGGTTTTCATTGATATGCACCCGACAATAGCTTCTGTTATTGTGATTATCAATCAAGTAAGCATATTCTAGGAAACCCGCATGTAATTCTATAATGTTTTCTTATTTACCCCTTTTAGTTTTGTTGACTTGGTGGGTGAGGTTTTGACAGCAGATGCAGCTTTCATGATTATGGACATGAATTCGGTAAGGTATATTTTGAGCCAATTGCGTGTGGTTCTGATTCACATACTCATTCTTCTATTTCTGTATACCGCATATGTGTATGGGCTCAAATCTAGCACTGCTCACGTAAACGTAATTACAATACGGAATAAAAATAGTATTGTTGGGTGTTTCATCATACACCTAGGGTTTCACCCTACGCCTCTAAATTTTAGATTTATCCTCTAATTAATAATGTTAAATTTTAGATTTATTCTCTAACTAATAATGTTTGGTGAATATTATCATATCATTATATTATTGATTATTATTGTTATTATTTATTTATGACTTTATTGTTACATGTTAAAGTTAGCATTTATGTTATATTTATTGTTTTGGTTTGTGTTAGAAAATTAAAAAACAATTAATGACAAATAAAACTAATAAATCATATATTTAATATTTATATTATTAAAAAGATTATATCGAGGAAATACGAAAGAAAAAATATTGGATTTTTTATTTTGAATATGGAAATACGAAAGGATCTCTGGATGTTTTTATACTCGATATTTTAATAGTTCTTTTAATTATATTATTTGTAAATGTTTATTAGATTATTTTAAAATATTTTATTATATTATTTTTAAATATTTAATTAGGTAATTTGTTTGAATTAATTTAATTCATACAAAATAACTTTATTTAAAAATATATTAATAAATTTAAAATATTTTAGGTAGTGTTAGATATTATTAAATTATTAAGATAATTCAAAATAAATATTAAATATTTACAAACAAAATTATTTAATTTATAATTAATTTAAATATTTATATATTTATAAAATCCTATTATTTCATTAAAAAATAATTATATATCTTAAAATTATAAAAACAATATATTTTAATGAAGATTGAGAATTTTGAGTCAAAAAATTTGGTCAAAAGATTCTTCTATTTTTATTAAAAGTTAATCATGGAGGATATTATAAGTATTTTAAAAAGTTTTGAAAGTATAAGATAAAATCTTTGAACGTGCAGGGTGAAACACGTCTGTTGTTTTATAAGCATAATATATATACTTTTCATTTCATATATCTATATATAATTAGATTTCTATTTTCTTTTTTAGATACTTTTAATTTCATATATATATATATATATATATATATATATATATATATATATATTTTATTTTTTTTTTCTTTTTTCATATCATATATCGTATAAATTTATCATTTATATCTCCTCTCTCCGAATGTATATCAAGAATGAGAAATATTTAAGGTGAATATGAATAATATTTTTAGCTTATAACTAATTTGGTTCTGTTCAAAATTATTTTTTTTAAAGTTAAATTTTGTGTGCTTTTAATTAAAACCTTTATTTTTATTTTGGTACATCTTTAAAATCTTTATTGAAAATTTATGCAGTTTTTTTTATAATGATATATTATGAGTTTTTTAACTTAATAAATAATGTTTTATAATTATTTATATTAATATTATTTATTTTTAAGTTTATACGATTAAATGTATACAGTATTAGGTTAACAAATCGGGTTAACAAAATCTTGCCTCATAGTTGGGTTAATTTAAATTGAAATAAATGAAAAAATTAAATACAACTAGAGGAAAATATTTAGGAATTTCTGCAATGCTTTAACATTTTCGATAAAGGGTTACGAAATAAAAAGAAAAAAAGTATTAGCGCATATAAACGATATATAAAAATATCACAAATGAATAAATTATATTTTAATATTTTGAATTATTTTTTTTTTCTTTTAAGTTTTTACGTTATGTGATGTTTGTAACATACACAGTTACAATTACTTGCAGCATTTTGGACTAAGCAAGCTGTTATAAGTACTGGGAAACTTTATTTTATTTATCAGTATTTATGAAACAATTTATTCAAATAAGATCTTAATCATGAAAATAAAAATGGAAAAGAGTAAGAGTACAAAAATTTGTTTGTAGAGTCACATAAATTATTTTATTTTTTATTTCTTTATTACACACAGGAGATTATTTAGGTAATTTTATCAGGAAAATATATTTAACTTTTATTATCTTTTTTCTTCTCATTTTTTTTTAAAGATCGCAAAAAGTATAGTTAGGTAAATTAAAAGTAATAAATTGTTCAAATATTATGTACCACACTAAATGTGTAGTTTAAGATGTTTATTTCATGTGTTATTTTGTCTTATGTTCTAGACTTTTTAAACAAACTACTGGATATTATTAAACCAAAGCTAAAATCTCAACTCTACTTTATAATATTTTATTTTTGACCTAAATTAAAGTTTTTATACTATATACTATTATGTCCTATTTTTCAACCCTTAGTATAAAAGGGAGTTTGTTGACTTTTAATTCAAAATATACTCAACACATTTTCTTCTAATTTCTTCTTTCTATAGTCGACAAAGTTAACAAAACCAACTTTTTTCCTAAAGACATTTTAGAATAAAAATATTTAAAATTTTATTTATATATAAACTAATTTATATATTTTCTTTTATAAATTTTTATTTTTTATCTAAACATAAATTTTAGCTTATATTTAATGTACATACCTAACTTAACTCAGTCCAATATCATTTATAGGTAAAATAATAATAACAAATTCACTATTGTAATGTTACATGAAATATTGGGAGATAACGCAATTATTTAAGAGATTTTCATATTTCAATTATCATTTAGTAAGATATCAACAATTAATATATTCTCTGTATAGCCAAAAAGTCTATAAACATAACACTGCATAGGAAATTATTTATTCAATATTTAATACTATATTATTCATCCATTAATTGTAGGTTGCTATAGTCAACTTTTTTTTTCTATTATAGACCACTTTTAAATTTTATTGACATGAGTAGAATATTATTTTTCTTTTTACATGAGTAGAACATTAGAATTTTTTTTATCCTAAGTAGACCTTTTACTACTATTCAAGTACACTTTCTTTTTTTTAAAGACTAAATTCTCATAATGCTCTTTTATAATTTTGAAGGTTCTTTGTTGTTGGAATTTTGTTTTCTGAGGAATAAATTTTTAACAATATTTTTCTCTTTTGTATATAAAAAATTTATAACCTTTTATAAACTCATGTGAATATAAATTTAAAAAATATATTTAATATAATGTTTGTAAATTAGTTGGGATTAAAGAATTTGAGAAAAAAAAAACAAGTAACTATGTATTGTATTAATTAAATCTCATTATCCATACACGACAAATTGATGAGATATATAAACAACTAAAAATTTACAAACAATTGAGAAAAAATCAATACGCTTTTAATTAAAAATATTTAATATTAGAAAAACTCGGTCACAAGGTATTGTATTACACTAACACATGCGATTTTAAACTTAACGAGACTTAACCTAAATAAACATGGTCCTATATTAATGCAATGTTAAGCTTAAAAAGAGTTAACCCATATAATAAATGTGGTTGTATATGAGTGCCATGTTTACCTAGAAAGTAGGCCTTTTAAGCCATATGACACATATTTTTCTTCTAAAAAGAAATCTAATTTATTGGAAATTCCACATTTAATATTTGATTATTATTTTTCTTATGCGTATGATCATTTTATTTTTCATTAATTCTCACGTTCTAATTCGCTTACTTTCACCATTCTTCCAAAAAAAAGTATTGAAATGATTTATAATCAGTTTTATACGGTCGATTTATTATTAATTGCTTGTGAATATTTTTCATTCATAATACATGGATATTAAAATTAGAAAAAATATATAATAACTCACAAACTCAAAGCTGAAATTATATAAAAAAATTAAGTAAAATGAAAGAAACAAAAAAAAACCGAGGAAAGAAAAGAATGCTCTAGACCTCATTAAAATATTAATTAAATAAAATAGAAGAGTAGTTTGAAGTTTACACATAATGAGGGCTTTCATTGGTTGATATATATATAGACGTAAGGGCATTGGTTTTGCCCAGCCTCGTCTCCTTCACAAACTCTGAAGAAAGAGCCGCTTCTTCTAATCACTTTCTTCTCTTTCTCTTCGCTCCGATTCTTCTAGCCTTGCGTTCCCTTCAACAACTTCTGCAGGTATCGTCACCTCCATTCGTCGTATTTTCGGTTCTTTATTTTTCTCTTTTAACTCATCCGTTCCTTTTACATGATTTTTTTTTTTTATTGATGTAATCGTTTATTCTCATTCCGAGTTTCACCTGGAAAAACCTAGATCCGAAATAACTCTTGTTTTAGCTATTTCTGTTATCGGTTTTATTTATTTATTTATTGACGATTTGTTGTTGTTGTTCTTGATGGTGCTGCTGTTTTTGTTGCGGTAACATTTTGATGAGATTAAGATCTGATAATTTGTCGACGGTAATTTGGCGCCGTGTGTAACGGTGTTCTGTCTTACGCCAGCATTTGGCTCTAAACCTTTCCACGTTTGTTGTGTTATCGTCAAAATTATTTGTTATTATTGATGATTGATTGTTGAGATTGTAATTGTTTTATATTGTGTTGATTCGTAGTTAGGGTTTTTAGTTTCTGTCTGGATTAACTGGTTTTGTTTTATCTTGATTG